AAAATCAATACAAATATATTGATTACTGAGATACACAAAGCTAAATGGATGCTAAATTCTCTTTAGCTTATTTGTTTTTGCATGCAAAAAATGCTGGTAGGTGGGAAATTTAGAGCTGAGAAGGAGGCAAAGGAAAAAAAATCATTTGAAACAGATCATGTCATTTTTACCCAATTCAATTATTGTATTACGTAAGGAATTATTCAATACGGGTTAGTCTGGTTTTAATTAGTCTTTTTGTGGAGCTTTTTTTTATGGAGTTTTACTTTGGTCGGTTGTTTTAGTCTTGACCCAGTTCTTTTTTTTGTCTTGTTCTTACACATAAGTGGGCACACTGTCTTTACACTGTTTGTTTGGTCATTTTCTTAAGATCCTTGCTGTTGCTCTCTTAAAGGTTTCTTGGTCAGTCTGTTTTTCTCCATTTTACTCGAATCCCTTTTGTCTGTGCCCTCTTTTATACTGGCTGTTTGCCAGTCAAAACCTCCTGTTTGCCAGTATGGGACCAAAGCAAAACCCAACGTTTGATGAAAACAGGGAAAGGGTAGGAGATTTCCTTTCTGGGAAAAACCTCGGCTATCCGACTCCATCAGGCAGAAGTCCGTTCTGGAATTGGTAGAAGAGGTGAAGGCCTCACGGCTTTTTGAAAAGGAAAAATGGATCACTGTTCTGGAGAAGCTAGTGGCAGACTAAGAACAATATACCAGGATGAATGATGTAATCATCTACAGACTGCTAGTCCAGCCCCGATCATACCCCAGTTTTGTGCAAAATTCTGTTCCCCTGAAATGATCTGGAACCTTACCAGGGGAAAAGATCATTCCAGGGGAACTGAATTTTGCACAAGACCAGCACGCTGGTGGGGCCCAGTCCAGCTCCTGGCGGCCTCTCTCCTCTTATCCGAGGGGATAAAGCTGGACCACCAACTGTAAAGTCTCCGTTAAGCTAAACGGAAAATCACAGAGCCGGAAAAATACGAATATCGACTCTTTGAGGTACATTAAAAGCACAAGAGATAAAAGGCATCATGTCAAAAGTAGCAGGAACTGCTTCCTCATCATTTGTGGACACAAAGCTAACACTTACGACTCTTAATACTGAAAATCTGCAGCTGAAAACATTAAATTATGCAAACTGTATATGTCAGAACATGGAAGAGGATGAGTTCCACATAATAACGTCTTCAAAGACATCGTTGACAACAGCTGCTACTGAAAAATGGATGAATGCATAAAGCAGACGAGTTCTCAGTCATACATCACAACAGCAAAAGTTTACATGCAAACTTTAACAGGAAAGACTCTCTGAGCCAGTTTAAAGAGCCATTTAGCGTTATCGTCATCTGGAAAACCTTCCTCAGCTCTAAGAAGGGAGCTGACTATAACCAGGAGGGTTATGAGTTCAGTTATATAAAAAGAGATGTGAAAACTAGTGGACAGTAGCCGTGTATGTGGTCAGAAACTTAAAGTATAAAATATTAGAAAAGATGACTAGATTGAAAACAGATGTATTTGAATGTATAACGGTCTAAATATTGTATATATGTTAAAAAAGTAAAAATATAGAGAGCTTCTGGTTCAATCATGGAAATATTTAGAGAATTTATGACCAATCATGCACACTTACATCTCAGAAGGCCTTTTTTATCTGTTCATTAATATAAATTTAATATTTTAATATCAATATAGATTCATAATATACTCATATAGATCTTCTTAACTCAAACCATCACGATCAAATTTAATTAATACCATGTACAGTTTGAGAACATGAACCCAGCAGGATCACACTTAACTGTTCCACATTAGTAGATTATATATTCACTAATATCATAGATAACAATGAAATAAGTGGATTATTAATCTAGCATTTTAGTGATTATCTACCAGTCTTTGAAGTTTGTAAAAATTTCATATGCAATATGAGAGAAATTATTCAGGATCTTAAAAGAATAAGATCTGAAGAATCAATCAAATAATGAATTGATGAATTATTGAAACATAGTTGGGAGTCAGTATAGCAGGAAGATGATATTGATAAAGTGTTTGAAAATTTTCTTAATATCTTTCAATTTTGAGATGCTAAAAACTTTCCATTGAAAATGTTCTCTAATTTAAAACTGAGAAGCTCCATAAAAGAATGCATGAAAAAAAAAACAGCAAAAATAACAGTATTTTTCTTTAAGTACTTACTGCTTACAAATAACTTTTTGTTGTGGAATCATCTGGAATGATTAAAATAGTTAATTTATTCTTAAGTTTCAGGTTACTCAGTTTAGTTTTTTGTGTTCCAGCCTGGCAGTTTATTATTTGACTGACAATATGATTTTTTCCAAAACCTGTATTTAGATTAATTACAAAAATATTATAGCTAAATTAGATATAGGATCCCATATTTGTGCAAAAGTATGTGAAGAAAATCTTTCAATAAGGATTTAAAGCAATCTGATTACAGTTTTATCCATAAAATTAACATAATATCACATTCAAGGAATGAAGAGAAATACCAGAAGGATTTAAAAGACCATTGCATTTGGCCTTTTCCAGGGATATATATGTACGTTTTCAGGAATACAACACAAAAAACATATTTTGTACACATTTTGAATGTACGATCTGGAGGCAGAACCGACCTGCAGTCAGTTCTGACCTGTCTAAAAATTAAATCGATAAAGAAGCAATAACAAAAAAAACCCTACTTTTCCTGACGCTGGGAGAAAATAACTAACAAACACATAAACCACTCATCCTCAATGCCACAGACAGGGCCCTTTTAAAGAAATAGCTTTAAAACAAAGCAGTTAAATCTTTAATAATTAGCATAATTAAATTATATAGATGCTATGTTTGGATTACCAGGAAAGCTGCATATCGTATGCCATAAATATTACAAATATCTAATCTTACAAACCCTGATGCATCCTTGATGCGGTTTGAGTGGAAAATGGACATGTCAAATGTCCAAAAACTGACGTCCAAAAGTCCAAAGATGTCACGTCTGTGGATTTTTTGGTGTTTTGTCCCGTCTCCATGGTTGTCTTGCCATTTCCTGTTTTATTTTGAAAGGTACATCCCCTTGTTTCAGGTCTCTTACACTCCCTTGTGTGTGCTTGTTTCCCCTGATCACTAATTGTGTTCCCCTGGTTTTACCTTCCCTTGTGTTTAAATAGTCTGAGTCTCTTATTGTCTGGTGCCATTGTGTTTTATTTTTCATCTTTGGTCCTTCGTCCTCATCCTCCTCATGAGCAAGCTCATAGCAATCCTTGTCTTCCTCCTTTATCCCCGTTTATGCCTCCTTTGGAGTGAGTTTATTTTGATACTTCTTCCTCAGTTTTGTTCTGCCTCTTAGGAGTGATTATTATTTAATACTTTGCTCATAGTTTTGTCTACCTAGTTTTGTTCTTTATTTTCACTCCTTGAGATTGGCCCTGAGTTAATAAAACCTTTTGTTAACTCAAATCTCTGCATCTGATTCAGGCCAGGAGTTAGCATCCCGACAAAAGAGGGGCGTGTCTCACCTTCTGATTGCGTATACTGTACAATATGCTCAGTCCAATAGAGCCCAAAACAATAGAAGATACACAGAATAATACATTCCTGTAATAAAAAAACAACATTGATGCGCCGTACTATTTGTTGATTAATAAATGTTAGAAGATTTGTGACAAAAGGCCTATAAAAGGGGACCAGATAAAGAGCGGATGATACCCAACATGGCGTTTGAAATATTTAAGTCTGGGGGTGATTTGCCGGTCCGCAGTTGAGCGTTTCGCTCTGAACCCAGAAGAAGCGGCAGTCTCTTCTTCAGGAGACGTGCTCCGCTTTTGGTTTCTTATCTCTGGGATGTGACATTCATGCTGCGGCGGGATAATGAGCACAAACACACCTCAAAGCTTTGCGGAGACCGACGGGCCCCTCGGAACGTTTCTGGAGCGCTTAAAGATTGAGAAAAGCAAAACACTCCTAACGTTAACAAAAGGCTGGGAACGCCGGGATAACACGTTCTTTGTTGCCTTTGAACAACCCTCGTGGAGTCCATCCAGTTTAAGTGCTGGAAGCAAACAAACACGGAGATCTTGTAAAATGAATATTTTCACAGTTAGAGGATTGGAAATGATCTCATATGGGGAGAACAAAACTGAAATCAGTATGCGGCCTTGCCTGTTCAATACAGCCCTTCCTCTGGGATTTTTATAGAATAAACCCTGCTATAATGCAAAATAACAAAGGCCTTTTTTTTAACATTTTGTAATGACTCTCATGATTTATCTGGATGTTAAACCATTTTAAATAAGCTCAATATATGGTAATATATTACTTTTGTTTGGAGTTGCATGAAAAAGGTTCTGTTTCTACTTTTTCCCATCAATCTTTGACATTGCAGCATATTGAGAGCTTGAAAGTATTTGGCTTCTTGGAGAAGGTGACTATAGACACCAAAATAGACCAGATGATCCCGGAGATTGCCGGAAAATTAGCGTCAGATACAACAAAACAGCTGGGAAACCTGCTGGAAATGGCTGCCAACAGCTAGTGCTAAATACGATCTTAATTCTAGATATCTACTTGAAAATAACCAACAGCTGTGTTGATGTACAAACATTTTATCAACTCCAATCATGCTCTCCTGATACGGAAAGGCAGTATAATGCTAAAAAGGGTGGTTACTTGTCACCAGGTAACATAACAAAATGGAAAAGGTTATAAATAAAACACTTTGTAACTTGTTTTTCCTTTTAGCAAAGCGGCTATTGAAGCCATGCCCACATACATGTAGGATATCAATTAGCAGAGTCACCTTTGTTGGCAAAAAAGTAGAAGTCAGACACACGGGTTCAACTCAGTCTTCGATAGAACATCGCAAAACGGGAATATCGAGGAGTAAAAATCCTCGAGTCTCACTTCTAACGCCTTATTTCAGTTGGTTCATGTAGACGAATCGCTAAGTACCACAAATTTGAAGTAAGTGTGAGAGCTATCCTGACACAGAACAGATCCCAGATCAGTTTGGCTGCATCATTATGCAGGAATTCCATTTTTATCCATCCACTTTCTATACGGGAGCGGGGTCTGTACTGCAACTTCTTTTGTGGTCTTAAGGGACCACTGTCAGTTCCTCCAGAAAGACAACCACACCAAAACACATCTCAAGCCTCTGCAAGGGCTTTGTGACAGTCCCACAGCACAAAAACACCTTTTATGGCTATCGTACAAAGCAAAATGGACACGGAGAGGACATAAAATGCATGCGGCATTAAATATTTATGAAAAAAAATGAACAAAAAGAGTCAAATCGGAAAAAATATATAGAGTACAGACCTTTACGGGAAGTAAAAGGTAAGCATGGGGGTAGCATTGTTGTTACTTACGCGTGTTGCTCGGCGTGGAGTCCATGGGAATCATCATTTTACCCCGCGTTCCTCTCCTGGCGGTCAGCGAGCGGTCAAGAGTGGAGATGCTGCTGGACGCCTCGTCCGCATCGGCACCTGGAATGCCACAACGTTCCGGAATGTCCGGAATGAAGGCCTTTTTCTCTCACCTACTTTAACTCAGCTATCTGTTTGACACTTCCATTTTCACTAAATATCCTTCATTATCTGTGATGAACCCGGCTTAATTACTGCTGGAATTTAATCAAGACTCATAATAGAAATAAAGGAATCAATAATTAAATACATTACGGGCAGAATAAATTGGCTTGAAATTACTAATGGGCAAAGTTAGGGCTGCTTATTTAAAGTTTTGATGCTCTATGTGATACAGATTAAACCCTACATAAAACTTTAGAGATAACAGGATAAAGGAAGATTCTCACTTGATATAAAAATAAAAAAACGAATGGATTTTTTCTTTTCAAAGTAAAAGGAAAGCACAAAATCAATTATAAATCTTTGGGAAAATCTTCATCTTATACAAGTGAGGGGAAAGATCTTAACCTGAGTGGCTGCTCTTGCTGCCCATCTGGCTCTCTGATTGGCTGTGGGCCACCTGGGGGAGGTCCTGGCAGGACTGGATGGGCGAATCGCGGCCCGACGGGGCCACGCTGGGCGCTTTCTCCATGTTCTTCATCTCCATCTCCTCGTGGTGGATCCAGAGGTCGGGCGGGCGGAGGTCCTTCTGGCTGCCCTTCCGCTTGCTGGCGCTGTGGCTCGCTCTCTTCCTGCACACACACAGACACACACACACACACACACACACACACGCACACACACACGCACACACACACACGTCAGAGGGCGGATGGATTGAATGGAAATCAAAGTGAAACTTGTAGGTTCACCTAGAACCCTTGGGTTTGCCCACGTTGACTATAGGACATCTTTTCTACAGATAAACGGGTTGAATGGATAGTTTTGTTGTCTTTTTTTTCCTTTATTTTCCTTTGTTCCTGTTTTAGAGATCTCTATTTTCAGCGCGGGTTATTTTTTTACCTTTTCTCTATTCTCTCATCCTTTTTTAATTCAATCTTTTGCTCCTTTTTTGTCTTTTTTTTTCTCTTTTCCTGTCCCCCGGTCAGGTTTGTTATTAACCATTTTACTTCTGTAACAAAAATAAATCTTAAATAAATAATAAAGCAGTATAACATGATCAGGGGAGGCTTCTGACCCTGACTGGACTCCCTTGGCAAAGCAAAAGTGTCGGGCAGAGCACGAAACTCAGATTACAATTCTGTTGCCATAATGATAAATAGACAAGGGGTTAAAAGGAAAAGGTGAAACAATATCTGAAGACGATGAAAACAGACAACCTAGGGGTTCTGATTATTTTGCATTCTCTATCAATGACTGTAGTTCTACTGAACCAGATTAAAAATTGATATCAACTAAAACCCAACAGGGAGGATTAAAGCGTCTGACATTATGTTACGAACTGGATTAGATGAGAATAATAAACATGATTATGCCAGCTACTATATAGATAAGTGAGTTATGAAATTCAATAGACATAATATTATGAATTGGATGGTAACATCTCTACAGGGCTTGTTATGTGCCGGCTGCATTGGGAATTTTTCTAGATTTGCAGGCTTGTTGTTGCCTTTGTAAATGTTTGGCTTGAGGAAGAACAGGACAAGTTTGGCTAATTTACACATTTCGTTTTGCTGACACAGCAGTTTGCTTGAGGAAAAAAACCTTTCTCAGAAGGTAAAGCCTCACAACCGATGGCACTGGAAGAGATTTTGGCAAGAGGGAGCACCTTTCATCTCAAGCTGGATTATTCTTCACACAGTGGTCAGAGTGAGGGGTCATTTTGGGAGGCTAAACATCTAAGCGGGTGAAAGTGGGTGCATGGATGGATAACATGTGCATATGAAAGACTGGAGTGGCTAAGCCTTCCAATGAATCACGTTCAAACTTTAAACAGAAACCCAGATGATATGATTTCTCCATTCCAGGAGGAGGAAAAGGGAAAGGAGATGAGGACACCTTTCTGTCGTGTTTTAAACGTCTGAAGGGTGGACTTTGGTTGGAGGTCATGCTATTGCGGGGCACTCAGCCCTCACGGGAACCCAAATATATCCTAAAATAAGCCTTTGGAGCAGACCACTATGAATGAGATAATGCAGTGATTAGAAATTTCCGAGATATCGGTTTAACTGCATCTCAAAAGGCAGCTATGGCCGTGGGTATCATTGGGAAAGTGACAGAAGACGGTAGTAAAGACATTTGGAAGTTGACCTTAGCTCAGGTTGTGGGTTAAGGTTAGGGTTTTAGGATTTTTTTCATGACATGAATATTCAACAAGCAAACTTTGCTCATACTGGCATTCATATTTGATGTTCAATGTATGAGGAAAGCTAAAAAAAAATGTAGTTGGGGGGTTGCTTATATTTATCTGGCCATCGGATTGTGTCAGAAATGTGTCGTAAGTGTGTCAGTTTTGAATAAGTGGGAGTTATCATGCCATTACAACTATTCCTTAAATTTATTGTTTTTGACAACAAAAAGTCTTCTGTCAAAATGTTGCGAAATTTTGAGATATTTAAAAACAAATTTGATCCTTAAAAATGTAAATCTGCTAAGTATGCCCTCCTTAAAGGTTGTATTGTGGGTGATAAATAGCAGATAAGGTACAATAAATAAAGACAGACAAAGATGAAAGCAGAACCCGTGAAAAGCCAGTGTCCGTTTACGTGACTGCAGGTTGTGTATTAACTAGAGTGGCCCCTTTTCTAGCGGGGGCCAGGTTCCATAACCCCCTGTGACAGGTGAAAATCCACAAGGTAGTGACCTTTTATTCATTTAGCTATTTATTAATATATATTCAAGGCTTTATAAACCCTTCCCACACTCTTAGAAAACCTTTCTCTTTTGTTATAAACCTTTCATAAAAACACAACACCGCTGAGCAGCATTATACGAAGAGTAGCCGACGTCAGTGGGAAACGGAAGAGGAGAGATCTGAGCGCACAAAGACACACAAAGACGCACAAAGACGCACAAAGATGCACAAAACGCACGGCTCTACAAAATACTTTTCCATTTCCAACACAGGCTGGCCACATGAAACAGTTACAACTTTAGTACTTATTCAGCCAGTGTTCCATCTTGTGTGGGTCTACCTATCGTTAATTTGATATTGAATTAACCGATTTGATATTTTTTTGAACTATTTTGATATTTTTTTCAAATTTTTTAAGATAGAAAATGCTACATTTTTTAATGTAGCATTTGAAAGATAATGAATGTATTAAATTATATATTAATGTAATATATTAAAAATAATAAATAGCCATATAATCTTCTAAATCCTGCTATATAGCCAATGTCCATGATTCAAAATGATATGTGTAGAGTTGAAAAAAATCTACTTTGCAGTGAGACGGTACAAAGTGAGGGTGTTGTATTTCCTTCACAGCTGTGTGCTACATTAACCCTCTCAGAAAATCAGGTCAACACAGTCACAATGTTGTCATTCCGCCTCCCTTACTGTAATTTGTCCCAATAAGTAGGCTACACGCCAGGCTTCAACGAACACAATCTCAGTTAAAACCAAAAGCAACAAAAAAAAGATCCCTGGAATGGGGCTGCTGATTGTTTTGTTACCCTTCTTTTTATTTTTCTCAAACCAAACTGACGGATTCCTCAACATTTTCTCCTTGATGGCAGCCTGGTTTAATATAATGAAACACAATGCGGAAATGAGTTTTGTCACGGTGGATCAGCGCATCCATCACAAGGCGCGTCTATAGAGTAAGACAGTCATTTGCAGGCTTCAGATTTGCTTGGATTCACTTCAGACAAACACACCAACTGCTTTACTCTCCTCACTATAGTCATAAAACGCACGCGTTATTGATATCGAAAACACAGACGACGTCAAATGGAGATTAGGTTTGGACATTGAAGGTAACGCGTGTATGAAAATGAGAGTGGTTTCAGCTTTGGGGGGTGCAGACGGAGGGTTTCTTACTTCCTTTGCTGGGCCGAGGAACGGCGGGTGCAGATGAGCGCCACGATGACCACCACCACCACCGTGACGGCCCCCACTGAGACCACGATGATGACCAGGAGGTTGCTGTTCTTCTGAGGGGTGACGCTGCCATGAGGCGGCCGCATCTGACCAATGGGAGACTCTGAAAAACATTTTCAAACAAATTGAACGGCAAAATATCTAAATAGTCTCATTATGATTTAATTAGTAGTAAATATGGGATTCTATTAGATCCCATTGAGATAAATAATTAGAAATATTTTTTTCTGAGGTACTATTGGCTGACCACAGTTCAAAACTGATGTTTTTGGGTTACACAATGAAAATTATTGTTGTTTCAAACCTTGATAAGCAAGGGAGAAGCATTTTTGACTCTTGCAGCAATCTTAAAGTGGGTCTATTTTCATTTGTAAACAGATTTTCAGTGTTCGGAGTTTCAATTCCGTCTTCGGCCGCAAAGAAAATCAAAGCGAAAGATAATCAAAATTGTGTCACTGGCTTGGATAATGCCGAGCTCCCGCTCCACCAATCAACACGCCGACCGAACGGGAGAGGATGACGGGTGTACGGATGAAAAAGGAGAATTAATGATGCCCTGTCATTCATTAACTAAACCCTGCTGAAGAGCGGAGGAGAGACATAGGAGATGAATGAGGGGTATTAAGTCTGTGAAACGTGAGAGGAGTGGGTTTAAAAAAGGGAGGGATGTGAAAATAAGGCAAAAATCGGCTAACATGGAAAACACGTTGGACGAAAGAGGAGAGGAATCGATGAAAGTCAAATTAAGAAAAATGTTTTTATTAAAAGACAGACAGAAAAGAGACTTTACCTCTTTCACTTTCTGTATCTTTCTATTCCCATTTTCTGTCTCTTTCAGAGAATACCCCGATCCGTCAAAGCTTAGAGCCACGCCTTGTGTACCACAAACTTCCTTTATTCCTTTTTAATAATCTTTGGACTTTATGTTTAGTGTTTTTCCCCCCAAAATAAGTTGGTTAATAAATTTCCATGTAATATCCTAGCCTCTGCTGACGTTCTGCTGGTGTGGATGTGGTAAACGAGCAAAGGCCGAGGGGTTTAAAAAAGGGAGGGACGTGAAATAAGGCAAAAATCGGCTAACATGGAAAACACGTTGGACGAAAGACGAGAGGAATCGATGAAAGTCAAATTAAGAAAAATGTTTTTATGAAAGACAGACAGAAAAGAGACTTTACCTCTTTCACCTTCTGTATCTTTCTATTTCCATTTTCTGTCTTTTTCAGAGCTTAGAGCCACGCCTTGTGTACCGAAAACTCAGTTTATTCCTTTTTAATCATCTTTGGACTCTCTGAATAGTGTTTTTCCCCACAAAAATAAGTTGCTTATTTAATTTCCATGTAATATTTGAACTTCTGCTGGCGTTTTGCTGGTGTGGATGTGGTAAATGAGCAAAGGCCGAGGGGTCATTAGAACAACAAGGTTTCAAACGCGGCTCTCATCTGGAGGTACAGTGGAAGTCCTACTGGCTGTCGAGATATCAGAGCGTGAACGGGAAAAGCGGGACGAGTGGATTGACAGACTAATTACTCTCCTCAGGCCCGGGACGCAGAAAAAGACTCCAGCAGCCTGATTAATGACATTCTATCATAATTATCACAGCGCAGAATAAAAACATTTAACACCTTGTTAAGTACTTCACCTCCCAAATCATCTCCTGATTTATTGCATCAGCAGGAGAGCGAAAGCTCAAAAGTGCAGAAAGGTCAGGCTTTTCTCTTGTGCGTGCGAGATCATTTACAGTAAATTAATGGTTTTCTGACATCCATCCATCTCAGCTCATTAGGTCTGATTTACACTCCCAAATGTCAGACAATTTAATTACTACTCCAACAACATGAAATTATGGGACTGCCATCTGTAGCAGCAGTTCACTGACTAAAAACGTTTTATGCAATGGCAATTTTTTTGCTTTAACACAAAAAAAGTCTTACATTTTCTCTGGTACACAATTGAAACTGATTTACTAATGTTTGGTGATAGCTTAAAGATTGAATAAAGCTAACCCTATAATGCCAAATGTATCATATTTGATACATGCGGTTTCTGAAATGTTTTGCGTCTGACACCTTTTGCATAATTTAATGATAAAAACTTTGCTCAAAATCCTATTGTACACAATCAGATACACCTGATAACAGGGGGCAGAAACTACACAAAAAACTATCTTGACTTATCGCATAGTGATAAATTATTAATATAAATATTTTATTTTTGTTTTTGTTTTTTGTTTTTCCATATTTTGTTAAAAGGCCAAATAAAGACTTAAAACAAAAAAAAAGTCATTTTCTGTTTTGTTTTGTTCTTGGATCGGGCTTTAAAGGGCTAAAAACACTTAAAACTTGATTTGACTGTGTACAAATGAATCAATAAGAGGTAAATAAAATTGTTGACATGACCATATTTGTATTTATTTATTGATAAGTATTATATGGAATGGTTCTAGTTCTGACTTTAACCATTCGAGTATGGAATGTAGAAGGGAAAGGACTGAGAAACAGTGATCTTTTGCACTAATACTTGTGAACTAATACCTGTAGGTATTATTTATGTAGGAGTTGACACCTCTAGCTATGCCTTTTATTACCCTTGTAAGCATTAGTATCCGAGAGGTGACACACTGAAACTTGACATTTATTCAATATGTGTAGGGAAAAGGTTGTAACCATAGTTACTATATGTAGCTATTTTTATGACCACTCATTGAAATAGGTCCAAGTCGTTAACTGGTATCTTATTAGATCAGATTTTAGATCAGAAGTTTAGAGATGAGACCTTTGTCTTAGCATCTAATTTACAATTCTTTGAGAGCATATGAGATCCATATAAATGCCAGGAGGTTTTTTCCAGACACAATATTGTGTTGTAACAAGGCAAATACTGTAACTGTAAATAACATTAGACACTATGGATGAAAAAGGGGAGACTAGCAAAAAGACTAAACTGACGCACACTCAAAGGCCCTAGAAGCTCATATTTAGAGCATGGAATTTATTAAGTGGTACTATCCTTCTGCAGCTCATTCATTTCAAAGCCATGCCAGCATTAAAAAAACAACAGAAAGGTGAAAAGAAGAGCAGAAATCAAAAGACAAAACATTGAGCAGGAAAACAAAACTACAGTTTCATGGAACAAAACCATTAGAAGTAATTTCCTGAAATTTCATATATGGTATTTATTCTTTGTAGACCGGGAATCAAATCTGTGAGGCATTGAAAGGACCGTTCAAAGGCAAGGATGGATGGTCAAGAGGAAGAAAATATCAAAAACAATCGCACAAATGCACACACAGACAGACACAAAATGAATATCCACACATCACTGGGGCTTTGATCTGAACATCACTTACAGCCGCCTGTCTACTGCACAGCAGTTGGTTGGCATCATATGCTAAAATATTTCCCAAACCCTTATGGAAAAGCTCTGTTTTTTAAAACCCTTAAATAATAGATGGCACACAAAATTCTCTGAATCAAAATATTTAAATTAGAATGTGTATTACTACTTGTAATAATCCAATTAAACACTAAAACCAAAGCCAAACAAAGTTAGGAGGTATGTATTCTAAATACTTTCTCATGTATGTATACATGGCAAACCTGGAATTCTTAGGTAGTTTAGAAAATATCAATTCTGACACATTGTTATAGTTGTTGTTGTTAAGTGTTTCCTTCAGCAACACAAAAAGGGGCGGCAGTTGGGGTTTTGGCAGAAATGTCTCATAAACTGAGGAATTTTTCTTCAGTTTGGTAAATATCAATCTTTACCTAAATGACAGCAATCATTTGGGGTAATCCCCAGTTCTAAGAATAAATTACCATTTTGTATATTGTAGTGGTTTATGGGCACACCTCCAAAGCTCGAGCAGCCCTAAAAAGCTGGTTAAGAATGCCTGCCAAACAAAAATGGACATTAATGCACCAGCTGAAATATTAATCTTCAGCACAATCATTGATGGCAAACCGGTAGGCTTATTAACATTCAGCTTGATACGACAGCGTGCCAGAACACAGCCTTGTGAAGCTGTTTGTGGGGCTGTATCGTTGAGCATTGGAGATTTTTTTTTATTCGAAGAATATGAAAAGAAATATTGAATACGTTTTGCAACCAACGGATGACGCTTTAAGCAAATCACAATTTACACGAAGGCACAGTCCCTTAAAATGTGGTTTTGAGGTAAGACGACATCCACAGGGGATGAATGCCAACTGTGCTTTTTGTGCTGCTGAAGTGGAGTGTCAGGGGAATACATGGATTTGAAGGGGTTCATTTATTTAATTAAAACTCTCATTAAAGGTTTGGGATCTTTAAGTCTTGGTAAAAATCCAGCATCACATTCTCTGGAGAAAAGACCAAGAACAAGAAGATTCCACGACTGCTAATGCTAAACTAATGGTTCCTGTCTGGTAGGGTCCTTTACACTACCCAAACCTCTAACCTTACATGGATCAGTGTATCTTTCACTGATTTGTGGATTTGAAGGGGTTCATTTATTTAATTAAAACTTTAAAAAGAGGTTATTTATCTTTTAATCTTAGTAAACATCCTGCATCACACTCATTTGAGAAAAAGACCAACAACAAGAAGATCCCGTAAATGCTTACGCTAAACTAATGGTTCCTATCTGTTGGGTCCTTTGCGCTACCCAAACCTCAACCTCCAGGGTTTGGTATCTTTTAGTCTTGGTAAAAATCAAGCATCACTCTCTATCGAGAAAAGACAAAGAACAAGAATATCCCGGGAATGCTTACGCTAAATTAATGGTTCCTATCTGGTAGGGTCCTTTACACTACCCAAACCTCCAACCTCCAGTGTTTGGTATCTTTTAGTCTTGGTAAAGATCCAGCATCACACTCTCTTGAGAAAAGACCAAGAACAAAAATATTCCTTGAATGCTTATGCTAAACTAATGGTTCCTGTCTGGTAGGGTCCTTTGCGATACCCAAACCTCCAACCTCCAGCTAGCAGCAGAGATAGACGTCAGGACCGGTCCCCGCTGAATCTACTATGTACCTCATTTTTCAAGTGAGAGGAAGCTTTGTGGCGCAAGCAATGACAGCGCGTTTGAGATGAATTACTGTGGAGCTGATGAACGAGGCTTCGACCTCGCTGACCTGCCATAAAGCCGGCGGAGGTCCGGGTAGACGGATTCATTGCCCACCCCCGACTACGGTAGCAACAACGGTGACAGTATTTTAGATTCCCTCTTTATGCTTTTGGCTTGCTTGGCAGTCCACCAAGGAGACACAGAATATTAACCATGACCTCTGACCTTTTTATGAAAGAAGAGTGGCACAAAGGCTCATTTTCACGACTATCTTTTGTATCTTCAATGACAGTTGTAGCAATTTCAGGGGTTTCAGGATAGCTGTTATTGTCAGAGTCATTATTAAAAAACAGATATTAGCATTGACGCAGTTATCTGAGTATGGAATTTTAGGACAATTATATTGACATTGTTGTCAAAACTGCTATTAGCATGAGCTTCTATGATTATTAGCGTGACAGTGTAGGTTAGCGGTCTTATTGGCCCACGTGTATCTTTCACTGATTTTATCAATACCCATATAATGATACCCTCCACCGGTAACATGAGTTACAGTTATATTATGGACACTCTTTGGATTGGCATCTTATTATTGTCAATAACATGACAATTTGATGTGTAATCGTAGGTAAATATTGCACCAAAAGTTAACTATTGGACCAAATGATGCCAAGAAGTATACAGGATATGATGTCAACGGACTTCAAATCAACGACGAGGTGGATAGATGGTGGATAGATTATTATTATTAGAATAAAGACGCAACAGTCTGTAATGATGCTATGATGCTACCACAAACACACACCCAACCAGTTCAGCTCCCAGGATACTTGGACACATTGTTTGAGCTAAATAACGAATGTAAAAGCAGCTCTAATTTCTGCTATTTGGTAGAAAACAAAGAAAGCTGGCTGTGTTACCATTGATGCTGCTCCTGTCAATCAGGTTGGTGTCAGAGGGCCAGAAGGCATGTTCTCCCCCTCGACCTGGAAGATGAGGAAGTGGGAAAAAAAAGGCATATCAGGAAGGACCAGAAAAAGGAGAGAAAATTACCTCAGAGCCATTTAATAGATGGAACGGCAGTATCAGTCAGAGAGATTGCTTCCTTCTTAGGAAATGAATTACTTTGTTATGGTGCATGTCATACTGTACGTCTGCTGTGTGTGTGTGTGCGTGTGCGTGCGTGTTTGTGTGTGTGTGTGCCATTCTTCGTGAGATTTCATTTAGTCCAATTCTTCAAATTCCATCCACCTGGTCGATGCTATCACTCAGCTGGATGCTTGGAATGATCCTTATAGAAACCCCCTCGCAGGTATTCACACTATCAGGCAGCTGGAGATGGCTGTTGACTATGCGAGTAAGACCCAATCTCAAAAAGGACAAAGTGGATGTATTGTTGTTTGGTTCCTTCTCTAAGAAACACAATTTTTAACGCTACTTCATTTATTTTAAATTTGAAAGATACAAAAAAAGGACTCCAGGAACTCCACTCCAATCAACTCTGTTTGGCCCTCGATTACCAGCAGATTTCATGGCCTTGTACGTAAAAAAGAGATGATGGACTATGGGTTACTGCCAGTTCTGTACTGGGTGATTGGTTTGAAACTACTGTCAGTTGTCCAGACCTGGCAAAAAACACGTCTGCTATTTGAAAAAATAAAATACTTCGACAGCCATTTTGTATTGGTGTAATATTGTCAAAAGTATTCACATTTTGAACTTACAAGGAATCAGAAGTGGATTCCTTATCATCATAGAAGGGTGAATCACTTCCAAAATGCTAGTCCACTCATCTTAAGCAATCATTTTCAGCTTTAAGACCTGATTTGTGGACCTTGTTTCAAGCTACCCTCAATAAGGACATTTCAGCATGGCTGACCGACACAACCACTAGAACAGAGCAAACCAACACATTTGTGCGGATCCAGGATGTGCTCGGAAAAAAAAAACAGCATTTCTCGAGGCAGCACAAAAGACACAAGGAACATCACATAAGACCCAGACTTTGAACTTTGCTACAGAGCCACACTCTACAAGCCACCCTTGAAGCCCGGTGTCAAAGCTATGTTTACGGTGCACAAGGGAAATTGATAATATATTTAGCAATTCCTTTTTATGTTGTGTTTGAAGATATCCACGTGTAATTTTGAATACCATATAATACAATATTGCTATTGTGCTTTTCTGTGACCTAATTTTTTCCCATATATATATATATAGCATATAATGGTAAACAGACTGATACAGATATTCTTGAATAGTTCTTCAATATTTTTTTACAATTTCGTGAGACCTTTGAAGGTGCCCTGAAAACACAAGGTGTGTTTTCAAGGAAGAAATTCAAACTGCTCCTGAGCTCAAGAGAATCTTATTTGTTTGGATTTGTTTTCTGTTGCGTGGACGAGATTCAAATGTTTTCTGAATTAAAGCCAAGAGGGCTCTTAACCGTGATTAAATGAGCTATGTTTTAACCCAGCTTTCAGGAAATTAAAATGTCTCGAATCAAGCTAACAGTTAGATGCATGAGGTCTGTTTTTTGATCGACTGCATGATAATAATAATAAAATAATAATAATAATAATAAAATAATAATAATAATTCTAATAATAATAATAATATGATATCAGGTCTTGATTTATTTCAACAAAGTTACTTTTTTTTTTTTTTAAATTGCTAAATTATACAAAATATACAAAATGATGCGAGAAAAAAAGTATAATTTTTTCACAATGAGATGCAACATTAACTTGCAAATGCACCTAGCAATTTAATTTGTATTAACAATATAAATTGGATTCAAAGTCTGCTGGGTTTTCTCACTGGACACAACAGGGCCTGGCGGTCATCTTAATTTATGCCAGTTGAGGAAGTTGGTCGCACTTCCTCTGAGCTAATCCTATTCTTTGCTGCCAACACGCTTTTTTAATTTCAATTTAAAAACAATCCAAATGCAGCCGAGACTTGACAAATGTCCAGTTAATAACCAAACGACTGCCTCTGCATTTTTTTTCGCTGATGAAGAACAGCTTTTGATTCGTTTCCAGCTTCCAGAAGTCTGGTGCTGAGAATGTGTTTCATACTGATATTAACACTCATTACATTCCAGATTCAGAGTTGAACACGAGAAAAAGACTGCAACATCAAACTTTATGTGTGCCGAGCAGCAACAAGATATCAAAGTTTGTGCAAATTAGAGAAGTTTCATGCTTTTGCAAACTTCAAGCCTCCCTTGGCTCGCTTTTCTCTGCAGCAGATGAAAAGCAGCAGATCCAGTGTTCATGTCTGAGTTCAGCAGATGAACTTAAATATGGTAAACAGCTCTCCCTCTATCACCTCCTCTTTTTTTTTATTTGTGCATCTGGAAAGCCAAATTATTTTTGTCTCTTAATTAGCGAACAGCTTTGCTTCAAACAAACATGAGCTTTGAGCATAGAAAGTTAAGAACATGTTTTTTTGGGAAGAAAGTCAAGTCATTAAGTTTTTCTTATTTTTATTCTGAGTCTTCTTTAAGGAAATATATATATATATATATTTTATTCGAGAACATCTGTTTATTTATTTATTTTAATGATATTATAACTTCCCCCTCAAGGCACCAATAGTTTTGATAGTTAAAAAGACTCATCCTGATAACTTAAAAATAAGTTTGTTGTAGAGATAACTTTAACATGGAAATCAATTTTCGAATTGAATATTGCTTGAAATTATATGATAATATTGCTAATTATAGTGCCTGTTTTGAATGATAAAAATCCATTATTCTTTTTAGTTTTTGTCTTCATCCCTTGTCTTTCCTCACTTTTTCTAGTCTTCTTTAAGGAAATATATCTTTTTTTTATTTGGGAACATCTGTTTATTTTTGTATTTTTTAATGATGTTATAACTTCCCCCTCAAGGCACCAATAGTTTTGATAGTTAAAAAGACTCATCCTGATAACTTAAAAATGAGTTTGTTGTAGAGATAACTTTAACACGGAAATCAATGTTTGAATTGAATATTGCTCGAAATTATATGATAATATTGCTATTTATGTTTTAAATGATAAAAATACATTATTCTTTTTAGTTTTTGTCTTCATCCCAAATGGAATGGAGTGAATTACGTTTCATGGTTTAACACGTCGGAACACAATTTAAAAACAGGCCTGTGGTCTAAACTTCAACTGAGCATTTGCACCATTTTTCTATTTTTCCAGACACTTTGTTGGTGATGTGCAGCTGTCTCTGCTTTCCCCTATTTCCGAAAAGCCCGTGCTGTTTGACAGATGTTTGCCCACTGTTTGACTGTAAAATACTTTTTATATTCAGTGGATTTCTCGACCCGCTGTGCAAAGATACACTCTTTTGAAAGATCCTTTCACCAGCAAAGACAGGAGGACACAAAGGTCGGAACCCTAAAATGCTAGTAAGGACGACAGCTAACGGAACAGATTTATGATGTTTTAGTTCATGTCTTAATATATCTTTACCTCTTGACAGCAGCAGATCTATAAGTTATATAGAAACAAAAGTTAGTCAACATCTCTCAGGTTTTTTGGTAGTCTTGATAACAGCTAGTTCAATTTGACCACGTATTTGTGCTAAATTAGCTTAATTTATAGATTTATAGAAAGAGAGTGTAGTCTCCGGTGTGATCCTTACATACACACACACACACACCCTCTGTCTTTGTGTTAAACCTGGAGCAAAGCATGGAGCTTGCACATGACAAAATAACATCCTAAAAGAAAGCAAGATGCTTAAGTCAAAACAAATAAAAATCTTGCCCCCCTCCACCATCGTGCACGGAAACTGACATGAGGCGTTTGTCCTGATAGGCTGTGTTCGTTTGTTTGGTTTTTTGTCGAGTATTCTGCTGTGCTTTATGACCAAAAAATGTCACTTTTTTTCCATCTGTCCAACAGATCTTTTTCCTGAAATCCCGGGGGGTAAGGATGCGACTTTGAAAAGCAAAACTTGCTTCCAGGTTCCTTACAGCACCCCTCTCTGCCTGTACAGTGAACATAATGGCTTTTAACTTTGTTTTTTTTGGCAGTTTCTCTGAACATTACACAGATTGAACATGCCATGAACTTTCCGGTGTATCCTTTGCTTGAAACATTGACAGCTGCATATAATGTTATCCTCACCATAGAAAGATGGACTCAAAATTGTTTGGTATTTGGTATGATATTTTTCTAAATCTGTCTTTGGTTTAACTTTACTTTAGGGTTAAATATTGTTAGCACACAGTAGGACCTTTTGCTCCTGGTATTCTGTTATTTTAACAACAAAGAATGATACAAACCTCTTAACCATAAAATGTGTCATATCTGATTCATACGGTTTCTGAAATCTTTTGCATTGTAGAAATTTTGAATAATTTAATGGTAAAAACTGTGCCCAAAACCCTGTTTTACACGATCAAATTTGCCTGATAAAAGGTGGCAGAAGACTAAAAAAACTACAAAGTTGAGTTATATCACGGTAATAAATGATGCATATTCAAAAATAATTTTGAATCCTCAAAATCTTTGAAATTTCACATTTTGTAAAAGGTCCTTGATTAAGCTGAAAATGAGTAATCGTGGGAGATTCTCAGGTTTTAAGAAGTTCATTGTGGAAGGACCGCCACCAGAAACTTGGCACCAGATATGCTTCAAATAACATGCATGATTTAAAACATTCAACATGATTTACATCTTCAGTAAAATTCCTGGTTGTGAAATATTGTCTAAAATATGAATGTAGTCATAGATGCATTACTTTGTATCTTTTAGTATTTAGGTTTTGGTTCAATAAAAAAAAAAACCCTGCTGATATGAATTAATTTTTTGCTTTGTCAACATATGTGACACGGTGAATGTCCATTTCTTGTTTTGGTTCACAAATACTTGTATTCGTAAAGGATTCAAACTTGATTTTTTGTTTAAATAGAAATACAGATTTATTCTAAAAATGAAAAGATCAGGTGCATCATATAAGTTGCGCACGCACACGACATAGCCTAAAACTTGTGGACGCCGATTTCCAAGCAAAGTTTTTGATCTATAAGGAAAAACCTGGCGGGAAAATCCACCCACATTCTGACCCACGCGGCCAGGAGAAACTGGCAGATGGTGAGGTGGAGAACTCCTTTGGGATGCTTAATTTCACTCCATATCGAGCTTTTAATCATCGACTTCCTCATAAACTCTCAAAACAGCAGTGTCATTTATGCTTGAGCCGGTGAGCCTCAACTTCCTACGAGGACCTTTCGAATAAATCAGACTTAAAATCTAAATCAAAGTCCGCACAACAATTTGAGGGATCAGACTCCTGTACAGTGGGGGAAATAAGTATTTGACCCCTTGCTGATTTTGCAGGTTTGCCCACTTACAAAGAATGCAACGATCTATAACTTTAATCATTTGTACATTCTAACAGTAAAAGACAGAATACCAAAGAAAATTCCAGAAAATCACATCATATGAATTTATAAAATTTGATAACCATCTGATGAAGAAAAATAGGCATTCTTTGTAAGTGGGCAAACCTGCAAAATCAGCAAGGGGTCAAATACTTATTTCCCCCACTGTATGACCTCTCAGCCTTAAATTCCACTCCCCGATGATACCAGAGTTTAAAGGAGACATATTCTACCCTATTTCAACAAGTTAACCTAGTTCCCTGGTGTCCTAATGTAATGTCCGTGACAAGCTTTGGTCAAAATCCCATAAGGATGAAGCCCAATAGCAGTTCAGTCCCCCTGCCTAACCCTAACCCTAACCCAAAACAGCCCCGTTCAGAGTGCTAACTTTGGAGTGCCTGTCTCTTTAAATGCAAATGAGACACAGCCAATTCACCCACTTCTTCAGGGAGGTGTGCCCACGTCGGCACGCTAACGCTACCATGCTAACGCTACCATTCTAACGCTACCATGCTAACGCTACCATGTTAACGCTACCATGTTAACGCTACCATGCCAACGTTACCATGCTAAGGCTCACGCTACCACGACGTCTGCCACAGATAGGGGAGTAAGCTGAGGGGGGGGCGCAACATGCAGGTGAAAGGCTGGAATATTATAATGAGCTAGAGCTAATGACGTCAGAAACTACCCACTCCTGAAACCTCCTGATTTATCTCCTGGATTCAGACTGAGGCATCCCGCAAAAACATGACTGAGTCATTTTTTTTTTCACACTTTGCCTGCTGATAGGCCCTCCACAATCCCAAATGTACAGAATCAAATGATTAAAAACTTGGTTTTGCATAATATGTCCCCTTTAACACATGGATTATGATAAAGTGTGTGTGCTGTGTTGCTATGTGTGGCACTGAGGGGGAAAATTAGGAGGGAATCCATTTTTTTAGGTTCCACAAAGATTCCCTGGCCCGTGATGACGACTGGCAACTGGTTCTTACCAGCAAGAATTAGAATAAAAATAAAAATGAATGTACTTTCTGCCTGAAAACACTTCTAGGAACAACCAAAGTATGTGAAGTTAAATAGGTCTGGGATATAAAAGCCATCATGCCCTCCATCCTGTCTGGCTTTCTTAGTGCGACTGGTCGATACTTTATATTTCCTATATGCTGTGGGAGAACCGACCAATGTCAAAAGGCAGTTTGCAGCAATGGTGTTCCAAAACTAATCGGAGCAAATATGTGTAGGAGCACAATTATTCAGTACAAAACAAGATATTTTCTCAACTCTCCTAGTCAATCACCACCATGTGGATTTCTGACCTGCTAAACTGCGTTTATTGGTTCTTTTCGCCATGGTTACCATTGGTAACCACTGGTAACCACAAAATAAAACTGATTGGCTGGCTCATTTGAATACGTTTTGGAGATCATGAGTTGCTTTGCATTGACTATTTATGGTTGAATGTGGGCGGAACATGATATGTTTAAGTGCAGCTGGGATTTATAAAGTGGAAACTGTGTGCTGGTGTGTGTACGTAGAGTTCTACCAATTTGGATTTTCTTATGCCGTACCCCATTTTCGGCTTTTGGAGCATAGGGTTACGGTTAAACCTTCAGTACAGATACTAAACAAGGTTTTAGAAATGATATATAGGGTGATGTAAACTGCTGTGAGTGGACGAGATTAACTACTTAAATCTAAACTGGAGATCAAATGCATTCTAAAATTAAATGTGACAAGAAATTCATATAAATATTACTGATTACTTGAGGACGGCGCACTTCTAAGACATGTATTACAAATATTTGACTTGAAATCAAGATGATCTGATGTAAAAGGGATGAAATAGGGAAACAGCTCGAGCAAGATTCTTGAAGTTTAGACTCTTTGAAGTGGATTTCAACCTCTGGATTTTAAATGTGTTTTAAGGAATCCCTTTGAAAATAATAGAAGAGCCTACCTTGATCGTTGGCCATCGTGTCTGGAAGCTCCACTGAAAGCGCAACAGAGAGAGACTGAGTCAATGTATGCGGGTTAAAAGAAAAGAATACATTTCCATTTAAAGCAGACGTCGATCACAGTTCACACACTCGTGTGTTTACCCCCCCCCCCGACATACCCTTGGCTGTCCGGAAGAGGATCGACTCTGAGAGAGGGCCGACTCCTTTGGCATTCTTGGCCTGAATCCTGAAGTAATAAACAGTGTCAAGGTTCAGATTCACAACCTGGTGGGTCAAGCGGTCACCGCTGATGGTCTCCATCACCCAGTCGTCTATCGGCATGTTCTTATCCAGCGTGTAGTACAAGATGTACCCTGTCGAGTAAAGCAGTCAGATGAGTCGGAGCTTCTCCTCATTTTCCTTTTTTTTGTTGTTGTAAAAAAGGTCATGTTTTTTTTTTTTCTTCCGCGTCTTCATTAAACATGAGTTTTAAAGGGCACGAGACAAAGTGATAAACAAAACATTCCAGTTCAGAAGAAAAACAGCGACTTATAAATAAATATAACTGAGAAATTAAGAATTTCAGGGAAGAGAGAACATTGAACAAATAAAATTAAAAAAAAGGGTGAAATATAGAAAAGCGAGTGAACTGTGATCTGTGTGTTTTACTGCGTTCGGCTGTAATGCCTGCAGGGTTTGTTTGATCCGTCCTCCGGGACGCCGCGAAAAAAAGCAGCCGAGCTCGTTAAAATAGAAGGTTTTACAGCCAAGCCAATCGCCCAGAGGAAGAGAAACGCAACAATGGAAACAAATGTCTGTGCGCGTATGTGTATGTTTGAATACTCCAAAATAACAACTGCAATCCTGAGCGGAATATTTTACATATTTCTAAAAAAACAAGGATTTACCCAAAATCGACTAAGCTTTTACTCCCGATGCTTTATTCGTTATTAGATAAATGATGATTGGTAGAAAAACACCCACCGGTGATTCGGCCGTTGGCCTCCAGAGGCGGCTGCCAGCTGATCAGGATGGCTCGAGAACGGCCCTCACGACTGATGACCGTCAGGTCCTTGGGAGCGGAGCTGGGAGCTGGAAATTATGGACAGGCAGGAAGAGGACACCACAATTGGTCAGAGATGTAGAACGTACTGGAGTAGAAGTACAAGCACTATAGAAAAAAATGGACTTGAGTAAAAGTAAAAGTATTCTTTTAACACCATACTTAAGTGGATGTACTCCATTTTTTTTTTTTTTTACTTAAGTATTGCAAGCAGAAGTATTTCAAAAATTGCTACTCAAGTATTCAAAGTACGAGTATAAGTAAAAGTACAAGTACTGTGTACAGGACTGTCTCAGAAATTTAGAATATTGAGATAAAGTTTTTTATTTTCTGCAATGCAATTAAAAAACATAAAATGTCATACATTCTGGATTCATTACAAATCAACTGAAATATCACAAGCCTTTTATTGTTTTAATATCGCTGAGTATGGCTCACAGCTTAAGAAACCCAAATATCCTATCTCAAAATATTAGAATATTGGGTTTTTGAGTTTTCTTCAGCTGTATGCCATAATCAGCGATATTAAAACAATAAAATGCTTGCGATATTTCAATTGATTTGTAATGAATCCAGAATGTATGACATTTCATGATTTTTAATTGAATTACAGAAATGAAAGAACTTTATCAAAATATTCAAATTTTCTGAGACAGTCATGTATATTTTAAAAAAGGTAGTCAAAAGTTTGATAGATATTGTTTATAATTTTTTAAATGTGTGAAAGGCCATACAGGTGTTTAAAAAAAACAGAAAACAAAACACAAATAAAGCATCTCAAAAGGCCAGAGGGGCAAGTGAAGCCTGGTGGTGACCAGGACTAACCCTAACCCTAACCCTAACCCTAACCTTATGATGGAACAGCCCAGAAGCATCAAGCTCTTCCATCAACAGGCTAACCACGGCCTCCAGGTCAACTTAACCAGGTTTGTCTCTTAACCAGCAACTTGGAATTCTCCCAGTAGGTCACAGACAATTTCGCAATCTTTCCGGAGGCATTTTTTCTCAATAGACAATGCTTGATTGCTCAAATCGCCCAATGAGGAGCCAGCTTCCCAAAATGTGCCAGAGCTATCTCCAGCTCTGGCTCTGACTCTATGACTTGGATATGACTCATTACATTTACATATCATTAACGAGTAACGATTCAGAATGTGAAAGTAAAAGTAAAAGTATTAAATTAATCCAAAATATGTACTGGAGTAAAAGTAAAAGTGTTAAATTAATCAAAAATACGTAGTGGAGTAAAAGCAAAAGTAGGGAAAAAATCTATCTACTCCAATAAACTACAGATACTGGATTTTGGGACTTAAGTAGAGTACTTAAGTAGTTTTATTTCATTACTGAACATCTCTGGAAGCAGTGCAAATATTGTTAGCGTGTGCAGTTTAGTGGATGAAGGCTGTTAAAGCTAAGACGTTTGTGGGTTTGTTGTGTTTTTGTCATCCACATTTCTGAGGACTCGAAATAACCGGGCTGAAGTTGAGTCCCAACTCTCTGCCGTGGTGATCTGCTGTTCTGTTCCTGTTGAGAAAATGTCAATCGCGCCCCTATAGGCCCGTTTTTCTCCTCGCCTGTCACCATGGAAACCAAATGGCAGTCGGTTAGACTTTTGGTGAGTGACAGATGTGTGTTTTTTTCCCAAATTACTGGTGTGATTAAATGCTCTTTTCTTTTACATTTACCAACAGGACAGAACTCACAAGCTCCCATACCTGCGCTGGCAAATGAAACTGCTGGTTAAATCTGACATGTCAGTCTGGAGGAAATTACAAGTTCCAGCTGAGCCTGTGAGTGACAGTAACAAACTGCACTCCTCAGAAATACCACGGAGGAAAATATACTGTGCAAACGCCTGCTGCGAAAGTACAGTTCAACTACAGTTCAAGAACTCAGAGGGGGATTTAACTCAACTATCTTTAGTTTTAAATCATTAGTTTTGACTCGGTTCATTCATCAATCCATTCATCTATTGTCTATTCTTCTTATTCTTAGTAAAGTTGCTTATCCCAGTTGTCATTTGGCATGATAGAGAATGTTATATATACAGTCATATTCATCCATATGGGCAATTTAGAATCACTTATTTACCTTATTTGAATGCAACTAGCGATAGCCTAATGAAAACATGGAGACAACATGCTAACTGCTCATAGAAAGGACCCAGGAACTCAAACCAGGAACTTTTCTGTGAGGTAAAGATACTACTGTGCTTATTTAAAAATGATAAAGCAACGTAAAAGCTGATAAAAGCAACATCAGTGCTAAAAATACCAATGATTTTTAATTAAATAACACCAAAACGATTGATGTTAAGTCTCGAAGAGTTGTTTTTTGGGTTGTTTTTTCAAATGATATGGTTTAAATGCATACACATTTGTTGGAAAAACCTTCAAACTTTCAGATCGAAGTTGGCTTGAGCTTCTCCAGGAACCAGCCCAACCAGTTTTAAAATGTAGTACAATTTTAGAGAAGTTAATGTTCATTTGATGGTTTTCTGTATATCAAACAACCTGAACATGGTTGCACATCATGTAGCTTACTTCATATAAATGTGTGATGAATGCCAGACTATGGGAGGATAATCTGTCTAAGGATAGATCTGCTCGGCCCTATTATGGTAAGTGCATTTAGTCTTACAGATGCAGGTAAAAAAATTACAGCAGAAAAATAATGGATATAGTAACATGCTGTGAACTTAAGCTTTCGCTTATAGATGGTGTGTTTTCCAACAGGTGTCTATGAACTTAAGCTTTCTCTTATGTTCAGTAATAAGTTTGGTTTCGCTCAAGCTCGCTCCTCTTCTCTAATTTGAGTTTAAAAGCATCCTCTTTCTATATTTGCTTTTTCCAATTCTGGGACATGGGGGCTCTGGAGCCCCCATCCAAGCCATGATTTGGATTAATTGGGAGCATGAACCACTTTTGCAATTTTTTGGAAAGGCAGGTTCAAATGCCAACAACCTTGATTGACATATAATTCAAAGTCAGGGGCATTGACTCTATCAGTGTCAGCTTCCTCTCAGAGTACTGGATCTAAAAAAGTAGTGTGTGGAGGGGGGTCTTCAGTCAGAGCTCATTTTTAACCCTGTAATGCCAAATGTATCATATTTGATACGGTTTCTGAAATGTTTTGCGTCTGACTCCTTTTGCATAATTTAATGGTAAAAATTTTGCTCAAAATCCTATTGTACACAATACAACTTATCTAATTGACTTATCTCATAGTAATAAATTATTAATATTAAAAATGTATTTTTGTTTTTTATTTTAATATATTTTGTTTAAAGGCCAAATATAGACCTCAAACAAAAAAAAAAGTACATTTCTGTTTTGTTTTATTCTTGGATCAGGCTTTAAAGGGTTAAATGGTTAAGACATCCGTGTCAACACAAAGATGAGTTAATTTCTTAACTTTCCACTCCACCTTTTAATTATGTCCTGATTTAAAACCTCATCTATTGGAGAATGCTTTTTAAAAAAAATGATGATATGCTTTAAATACCACCAAAACGATTGATTTTAAGTCTCGAAGAGTTGTTTTTTGCGTTGTTTTTTTGGATGATATGCTTTAAATGCACACACATTTGTTGGAAAAACCTACAAACTTTCCGAATGAAGTTAGCTGGAGCTTCTCCAGGAATCAAAATTTAGCACAATTTTAGAGAAGTGAATGCACTTGTGATGGTTTTCTGCTTATCACACAACCTGAACATGGATGCACATCATGCCGAACCCAACACAACCCACAATCCAGATAGATGGGTGTGTTTCCCAACAGGTGTATTTTCACTGGGCAGGTGATTATTTCTCCCATTAAAGCAAAGCGGGAGGCCGTCTGTTGGTGTGGAAGTGTGTGTTGTTGCAGGTTTCGTGCCCCCTGAGTGGGTGGATCAGTGCAGAGTCTGAGTGGACTCAGTCTGTCTGTCAGTGGGACTTCGGGGGGGGGGGGGGGGGGGGGGGGGG